CATACAATTTTATTTACTTAGCGAAGAGGACAAAATTTCGTACGGTGAATAAAAGATCGCGATTATGAATTGAAGATAAATTTAAAAATCATCATGCGAACACACACTTCAATTCTTGCATACAGACCTCGTGCAATAATAACAACGGAAATTTATTACGTAAAAACACGTTGAGCGCACGTTTCTCTATTATGAAATTATACTGATGTCTGACCACACGTTTGCTCTATCACTCAGTTGCCGGATGATCGATGAAAAATCGTGCTGGGAATGAATGACGAATGTTCGCTTTTCCGGGGCGCGCGTATTTGCTCTTTTCCCCGCAAGTCTCGCTTCAAAGAGGAACGAGCTTGGCTGGATGGAAGAAAAATAGAATACTCATATCGCTCAGGGGAAAGAATCGTCCAGAACTTCATTAAACTAGTGCCCTAACGTGTACACGGCGGTCGCAGTCACGCTAAAAATAAGCGCGATACAATCAGTCGGCCCATGATTGTAATTAACTCGTATTTTTCATGTCACGAACCCGAGGTGTCTTTATTAATTTCTTGGATAAATAAAGCGATAACCTTAGTGAGTAATGGCCACTTACATTATGTAACAACTAGTCTGATGAACAAACTAATATTTGTAAATAACTGTTTCATGCATTATGTAACAATTATTTGCATCTGTGCATTAATGCACGACTTAACATTTGCAAAGTTCATACGATAAGTATTTATTAATTTATGTTAGAAATTTGTGAATAAGTTGTGTAATAAAATTACCCCCCGTTTGCCTGAAACAAAGCTTTCAAATAATTGATACCCTAACAAAATTTTGATTTATAGTTTCAATACTTTCTTCTCCAATGAGTTAGACACCGCGTAAATAATTAAAAAAATATATTGCGTGCGATATGATCTTGAAATACTACAGTTATCACAGTGAATGCTAACCGCGATCGTATCGGCGAGCATCACGCGAGATCGCGGTACAATAAATGGAGATGGAAAAACAAAAACCTTGCGTGCACGTGGAATTAAAGGTTTTTTAATAAAAAAGAGGAATAAAACATTTCTTCAAAGTAAAAAGCGGCTGGATTAGTCGCGAATAAATTCTTAGGTCACCTCGCCGTCGCGTACGTCGCCCTGCGTGAAAGACGATCTGGTTAAATAATCGTTTTCAAGCTTCCGCGAGTGTAATTACCTGACACTTAAGTCGTCTGTCTTATAGCGGCAGCATAGTTTACCAAGCAGGGCTTAGAAACTTGTTCACGCTTTCTCGATAATTCAAGTTTTCTGTCGAACGGAACTTTCTACGGACCTACCAAGTGCCTGAACATTGGCACGTACATATATCAAGCATCTAAAATTTCCAACGCGCAGCCATCCAGTTGCTATCTCCCATAAAGTATATAGGAAGTTACACGGAATTTGCGGGCGAATTACACTTTCCGTCGATTGAACTTCGATCGTTTATTAGCTCAAGGAGTGATGTAACAGAAAGGGAGATCTGAGTTTGGTAACGAAATAATTAAATTACACAAGGGTAGTCGAAATAAAATTTAAAATTGACTCGGAATTTCGTACGTGATCCCGAGCTGTATCTCAACTATCTTCTAAGGCTTTACCAAAGAAAGTCGGGAACTAGGGTACGCTATATCCTTCCTCTACACTATACATAATGTAACATGTTTCTCTAATGATACTCGGGAGAGAGATCGCCGACATTAAATTAAAACACTTAAAAAAACAAAATTTACTTAAATAGTCATTGCATTGCTAACAATTTGTTAGATGTAAAACGTCACCGTCTTTGAGGCTTTTTTTTATTTTTGAAACGGATACATTCTTATAATTTCACTTTAATTTCATACTCATTCTGCAAAGTTAGATAAATATGTGGTGCGATTTAAGAGTGCCTGGAAACTTGAAATTGGAATACGTCTTTCGGTGCCTATTTATTTCATGTCTATATACATTTAACCCAATTTTGGATTTCGAAAACCTGATATTTTATATTTACATGAAAGTGAGACATGAAGAGAACGGTAAGTATTCATTTACTGTGAGAAATCACTAGCTACTAACGAGCACATTAAGCAGAGAAAATTGTTGAGCCCGTTGCGATATTTGAGCCTAATTTGCTGGACCTGGAGGTAAGTATCAATTATTTGCGTTTGCTATTTAGCGGTTGCGCAATTCTTTGTTAAACACAGCCGCAGCGTATGCCAGGGTAAACGATTGAATAATGCACGATGTTTCGCCGTGTGAACGAAAATCATTTCTTCACTCTTTAAACAATATTCCACATACTGAACCAAGTGCTAGTAATTGGAAAAATTTGCAATACTTTGCTTGCACGAGAATGTTAGCTAAAAAAACAAATTTGGGTAAAGAAAAGGAGTGCATTCTTGAACGTTTTAAATATTTACGGCGCAATAAGGAGTTCCTCTCGTTTGAAAAGCTTAGCAGAAAATGTACCAAACAATCTCTATCGTATCATAATATTAAAATTTATTCCTCGTGTGTTCCTTTGTACAATATAGACGTGTTTCAGATTTATTATAAATCTTTCAGAACTCTAGAGACCCATCAAAACTAATACGAGCGAGCTATTTGCTGCAATGATCCTTTAATCGTCTCAAACATTTCAGTTCACGTAGATTTGTTAACGAGGGTATAGTGGGGCGCGTAATGCAGTTGTTAATTTGCTTCTTGTTTACGTCGCTGTCAGTTTCAATCCCCGTTGCACGTTTTCGCATAACCGTCGATTATCGATGTAAAACGACAGGCGTTGGGGTTCGAAATACAAACGTCGATCAGTCTCGCGGTAAATCATCCGTGTGTCGCGCGTGTATTTACACACACGCGAGCTGGAGGCACGAATGAGTGTACATTCGCGCGACGCTTAAATTATTTTAGCATTACTGCCAGGTATTATCTTCGCTTGTTAGCGTCACGCGCATGCAACTCTGAATTTCGCGAAAAATATCACCTGGTTGGCTGGCCAGGTAAGTTTCGTCCTCTACCGCTAGTTTCAGGCTCTTGTCACAAGCCAGAGCTGACCTGGAAAATCATGGGACGGCCGGGAACACGAGGCTTTTTCGTTACATTTCGAAACGAGTCATATTACACGGTTTTTATATTTTTTTTTTGCGAACCTCTTTTTTGATGTTATACCATTTCTATTTCAATTTTACATGTTCTTTCAAATTTAGCTTTTAAAAAATATTAAATGTCATAGTGACGGATCGATAATATACATAATTTATTGCTTGCCCCGTTGCAATGCTCTCTTTTGTTATTACGCTAATCTTCGATCCGATGGTTATAAAAAGGAAATATTCAACTCTTAATGTTTTTATTGAAAGTATTTTCCCCGCAAAAAACAGTGTTATTGCGATTAATCGATTGTTAATATACAAAATGCAATACCGTTTCATGGTGGTTAAAAACGAAGATTTAAAAAATTATTATTTGCCTTATTTTAATTATTCCATTCGGAAAGAATTTATTTAAATTGATAAGCCACGTAAGATATGAACGTCATATACGCTTTTTCATCTTCTCTTCATATTCGAATGATTTATAGGGCAATCCCGGCTTTACATTAAAACAGGACAGAACGCGTATGGTTTTTTAAAAATCTCTCTTTTGTGTCGACATTTCAATCCCAATATTACGATATTAGGATTAATTCGTTGAAATTATAGTTTATACTTTTATAAAAATTTTGATGTCCCGACTTTATGAATGCTTTCGTTAGGATTATAACAATAGCTGCTACTTCTTATTCGAGGCTCTAACGAGTGGCTTTTATAAATCTCTTAAGGGATTTTAATTTTAAAGTTCGTAACTCCTCTCTCATCATTCTGTTATACAGCAATAGGAAAGCTGTACTTTGTAATGTAATGAGATTGATGTATGTAGAGAATGTAACAGGTTCAAATAATAAAAAAATATTACAATCAAGTCAAAGATTTGTAGTATCTCTCGATTGATTCAAAATCAATCTTTAGTCAATGGAAATTTAATATTGTCATAAATTGCTGGCGTGTCATATTAAACAAGTTGATAGTTTTAAATCACGATTTTCTTAAAACAACATTGATTTAATTCCCGGAAAGTATTTTTAAAGGATATTATAGTAAAGTCTTACCGAAGAAAATTGAAAAAAAGAACGTAATAATTTGATTTGCTATAACATTTGCGGGAATATCTCATTCGCATATAAAAAGAAATCGTGTGAGTCTCGCATTTTCTACGATATTTTGAATTTTTCGGAATTTCTAATAACGCGTAGAACGTCAGCGAATACGGGCACGAGTTTGAAGCGCGGAAAATGGGTTCTAACTAGTAGTTCGTAGAGTCGTGTGAAGCGTAATTTGCTAAAGAATCCGTTAAATTGCCATGAGCAGGGCTGTAAAGGGTGTGCGTTTCTAATGATTAATTAGTGCGTCTTGAACGCGAATGCCTCCCATGCGAGGACTACGTATGAGAAATGGAGGGTCATATGACGCAGGTCGTGTCAACAGTCTTTACGACTTCTTTCCACTATTAAAATTCAATTGGGTCACGATTATATTTGCAAAGGTATCCCCGCCAATGTACAGACACACCACTTTTTTCGTTATGGGTTTCCCTAGGATATTTTCAATGTATTCTACAGAAATATATTGTAAAATGTTTTCCAACATCTCGATAATCGCAATTAACGCGGTACACGACGCAAAATTATTTTTGCACCCAACGAAAGTATGAAATACTAATAGCGGACTCGGTTTCATTCAGCTTTTATCATTCAGAGTTTACCAGAAGTAACGAGACCACTTTATTAGTCCTGAAAATTTCACAGCTGAAACTTTCATCGTGTATGTATACATGCACCACCATTCACTTTTATTATACACTCGTGTACGCGCTAATTAAGATGAAGTTATATATTTCCGCTGCGCGTCCCTTAAATCTCTATTTTAATTTGCAGGGATGTTTATTTATTTATTGCGCACTTACGTGTCGTTTCGTTTCTCTGAAATGTCCTGGCGGTAGATAGAACACCACTCTGCTCTCGATCTCCGATCACGGGTACAATGGGGTTGAAAAGTCAGGTAGGCAATGTGTGCCGCGTTCTTCCGCCACGATTCCTCCGCGACGAGAGCTCGCCCGATATTCACGCTACGAGAGACGGCATGCTACTGCCTGAATCATCCCCCTTACGCCTGCGAGGCACCCCCGTTATTAGGTCGACAGTAGCGCAGCCATGTGGAGGGTTGCACCACTATTATAGTCGCTCACTATTATAGTTGGCATGCATTTCGACCTGCCGCTTTGGAAAACGGCTTGAAATCGTCTCGAAATCGTAGCATTTCGTTCTGTTCTTCATTGTTCGACCACGGACTAAATATCTGCGAACAAAATTAAGGTTTGCATTTTTTGCAACTTAAATAATGTACTGATACTATCACAATTACACACCTCTTTCTCTAACAATTCATAATGATATTAATTTTAAAAAGTTTCTATTTCTTTTTAGATTTTTTTGTTATTTATGTATGTTTATACTGCACATTCTCTGCTTTATGCGCTTTGTAACAGGACTGGCTACCTTAATAATTCGTGACGTAATTTTTTTTAAAATGAAATTGTACAAATGACACGAAGAGTGTGATGCTGTGTAGACGTAAAAAATCTTTAGTAGACGTATATTAAATTGTTAACGGAAGATGTAAATTTTGCTGTTCATATTTCGCGATCAAGTCATATAGATCACAATTAAAAATACTATCAAAGTATATTAAGACAATTTTCATAATTACGATAATTGTGTTTATACATTATTTACTTTTTCATTTTACGTTATGCAAATCTTTTCTTTTACATCAATTGTTTGTTTGATTTCTGTTTGTAAATCAAGCACAATCTTAAAAGAATGTAACGTAGAATCGAATAGAATCGAAAACTGCGAGTATAAAATACGAAAAGGTAGAATGTAAAAATAATGCCGATTCTCGATAAAACGAGTCCGCGACTTTTTGTCTGGAAAAAAAAAGTAAAAATAACTTCGACGAGTACAGATTTATATTTTTGTCGCCTAAATCTTGCATCCGCACTATGTCGGCACTAGCTGTCGCTTATATCGCGCGTCCTCTAATAAATACATCGCTCTCTGGTTTTACAAAACGCACGGAAAGTCGTCCATTGAGAGTCGTTCGTTGAGAAAGGTCAAGGAGACCTTTTTGCGGAACGATACGTGTAGACGTCAATAATTTTTATTTGTGCCCAATCGATGCGAAATGTAATTACATCATCGTTAATTTGCGTCGCATCGCAAATTTCTACTCGCGGCTTTACGGGGTTGATCGTATCGCGACACATTAGACATCACTAACCGAAACTTTAGCAGTAACGTGGAGCAAATAAATAATATTTCGTAGCAAAGCGATCGCTACGATTCTGTTGCATACTTGCAAAATAATTGCGTATATTATTTCGAGCGTTTCTTTCTCATCTTCGATCAAATTCCTCGCGCCTAAGGGATGTAAGATAAACGTCGACTCTCGCAAAAAAGATGTTAAATAGCTCAAGTATTAGATAAAGTATTAGATAAATTTAATTATCCAATTATCGAAGAATGAGTATCTCAGGATAGTGTTTTTAATATTGAATAGGAGCATGAAAACTGTTATTTATGGGGAGATTCCAATGCGTGAAAATAGCACGATCCCTCTGAAGTGATTTAAATACGTTATTTCAGCGGGTAAACTTCCGGGAAGTAATACATATGCGCTGACAAGTACAACGCAATTTTTTATTACGCATCTGGTCTCATGAATCTATCTAAAGTTTTAAAAATGGAGGCGCTACCTGTAATCAAAAGTACATCAAACTTGCAATTCCCTGGTGGATAAACTGCATACAAGTTTTATGCTCGGACGTGTACACAAGAAAATATAAAACAGAAATTAGTTCCAATCTATGCGAATGAAACAAATATTTTTTTGTTGTTGTTAACGAAAATGAGATATGGAATATTTAAAGAGGTTAATTAAGCTAATAGTCTTGATTATTTCGTCATTGGCAATGTAAAAAACTTAAAATAGTAAGTGTAGGATAGACTTTTCGAGAATACATCCTAATTTGCTACGTGTCTCTGGAAGCGCCAAAATTTAATTTTGCTTTACTTCGAGCTTATCTTACCCTTAGATCATATAATTTAGATCTCGTCTCTCTAATATAATTTAGATTTTATCTTTCCAATTTGCGCGCAATTCACGCTATCCAACTATATAAGTAGTTTTCCAGTTAGTTTATTAGTTTATGGCAAAGAACATTAGATAATTATAAAGTTAATTATATAGAAAACTATTTATACAGTTAGATAATTATCTAATGTTCTCGTGCACGCGAAGTTATGCAAGATATCAAATTTTAAATTAAATTATATTTAAGAAAAATATTTTCCATGCAATTTATTTTGAAGAAACATTATATAATATTATCATATTATCTTTCAGAAAAATTTAGTTTCCATAATTTCTACAAATTATTTAAAGACATTTCAATAATTTTTGATTGTACGAAAATAATGCGAAATTTTCTACTATTAAATTCGAAATTTAATTCGTAAAACAATTTTAGTAATTTATATCTGGAAAAGTACTATTCTGATGTTTTTTAAGAGCGGTAATAATTAAAAAGAAATTAATATTTATAAATAATATGAAATTAATTAACTGTATATTGTATTATATTGCTCGTATACTTTGTGAGAATTACTGCCACTTGTGTATTAACGTAGATATTAGCAAATTGAAATTACGTTATCATTTGATTTCATCAATGATGAAGCTGTATATCTGGTTTAACCGTTGCGGTTCTCAGTTTGATGAATTATCCTACAACATTACTGTGCAATTTCAACACATGGCACTAAAGCGACGCGCAGGATCATCTTTCTCGCGAAATTACTTTAGGCCAACTTCTCAGCGTTAAATTAATTCGCCGCGAAACTCATTTTCTAAATGAGCAGTGGTAAACTACGTACCAGAACAAATCCATTCGTTTCAAATGTTGCTCCAGGTTTTTTAAAAGAAAGAGATAATTGTGCGAGTCTCTAAAATTATTGTACATAATATCAGAACGAGCGAAGGTTTTTTTTACTGATGCTTTTTAGTCACGATAAATAGTTTTGCAATATTTTTCTCGTGCTTGCGAAGTTATATATCATTGTAAAGGATGCCCGTGAGTCTGTGTAAGTTCAATTCTTGCAGGCTCGCGCAGAGAATGATTTATAGGCGAAACGTGCAGGTATACAACAGCGGTAGTATCGAAAAAGCTGTTCCTAGACAGAAACATTTTTGTAAGTTATTAATTTAAAGAATAGATAATTTAATACACAGTAGTCAATATTTAATTCATATATCACTTTCAAATTGTAACCGAGATCGTGCAGATACTCTTTCTTCTCATCATCTTTTGCTATAACTTTCGTTTCCGTTGCCTCGTTTGTTTCTTTAATCCTTGTTAAATAATCGAGTATTATTTTGAAAGAATTTAATATTCGATTTCTCACAGAATTGAAAAGTGGGTATTCCTAGTTTATGAAACGGAGAAAATAAAAATAGTTTACTTTATCAAACACGTAAAAATTTTACGCGTAATTTCAATATTGTAAATATGTCAGAAACATATGTTAATATTTTTATTGTTTATGTAAAATATAATTTCTGCAGAACATAAATAAATAAAAAAATAATAAAAAAATGCTATTTACTTTGGCATATTTTTGTACCATTGTATTCGAATATTTAAAATGAAGTGCAAATATTATCGGTTGTAAAAATGATTTGGATTGCAAACCCAAATGTCTTCTTTTTCTTCCTCTATGGTAATCGTCGTACGTGCAAAAGGGAATGCTCGCATGTATGTATTATCTTTGGATCTATGCGACATTTCACGATTGCAAAGCCGAGTATATGTAGATTTCTAGAATGGTGCATAAAAGAGTCCGCATATCTAAAGCGAATATTCTCGGAAAGAAAATTTCCCAGAAAATTTGAATCGAAAAATCGTACTGTAAATACGTTTATCCATTTATGTTTCAATATAGAAAATATGAAACTTTTAATTGTGTCATGCAAACCCTGAGAGATCTTGTTCTCGAGAAGAGGGCTTGCAAGTATAAAGCGTTTATGTATCAAAGCTAAAAAATACCTCGGCGAAACCTTAATTGGTATAGTGAGGTAACTATGCGTAATTATGCTATTGTTCGAAGCTCGTAACTGAATCTTAGCCTTGCAATTACAAAGGAGTTAATGCTAATGATTTGCAAGCCCGACTTCGGTTCAGTTCCGTCCACCTTGTAACTCATGATTTACACCGTTCCCTGTGTGCACAGAGGCAAGAGCTATTATCTAGTTCCGTACCGTCTCGAATTTCAGCAATGTTTATTACCGCCAATGTCAGTTGTTAAATGGTCCAGACAGTTGCACAGAAAGGGATAGGAGAGATACAATGTTTGACGTTGTATCGTAAATTACAGGTAAATTACGTATCTCGAATTATACGCTCACACACGTAGGATGTTACAAAGAACTACCCCCGCCGGCATATTCGCAGGAAACATTTAATGCTACCATCGATACAAAGATATTCGTAATTATCTAGCATTTGTTAATCTACACGCTGGTAAATTCTCATAATTGTCCAAGTTGCCATTATTGTGTGCGATTGTATTAAGTAGTGTTCTCAGAACGGAACGTTTAACGCGATGTAATTAAAGAAGGATATTACCACCATGACTTGTCTTTTTTAAAAGTGTGATGTAAGCCCGCGTGCGTGTTAATAAATGCAAACGTTTTGGCAAATATCGTGGTGATTACTCGTGTCTCTCCAATTGTTTTAATAATTTAATATTCAATGATATAACTAGAAAGTTGACTGTCATAATCTTCTTAACAATAGCGTTTTCAACCACCGCTTATACCAAATGCCGTTAATTTCTGGCGATAGATCTGGATCGTATTCATTTTCTATGGGATTGACTGCATTCGATTTCACCGTGTACTGAAAAAAAGCGATGTTAATAAAATATATAATGAACAATCGAATTATACCTAGAGTTTACTCACGGTTTTGCGCATTCGATTGTAGTCTTCGTTGTAAATTCGCGGTCCGTTCCGGCGGTAAACTGGAATTTGCACGGTACCGTGCAAAATTAATGTAAATACCCCAATCGTGCCATTATTCCGCCCCGGGCCTATCTGAAAGCGCATAAATATACGATCAAATATGGACG